TATATATATATATATATATATATATATATTTGTATTTGTATTTGACTAACATAGTCAAATATCGAATAAAGTTACCATACACTGTTGACATTTATTATTTTGTCAGTTGGCTTAACCTCAATATCAATTATATATATGGGTCTCGCTAATATGTTATCATTGTACCCACTTTTCTTTCCTTAGATATCATTAGGCGGCAACCTAACAGCACATTAGCAGGAGGGGCTTTATTGTCTTGTTGTCCAAAAAAATTAAGCTTTCCCCAATTCATACCATAATTAGTAAAAACGATAAAATAGATGCAACCAAAAGATAATGTGCAATTGCTCTCCTCAAGAACATTCTGGACGATCTAGCTAACAACTTGACGTTGGGGTTTATGGAAATTGAAAACACTTAATTTACTATTGAAAAGAACGAAAGAATTCGACTCATCCCAGATATTCATCTTGAAATATTCTCTTCATCTTTGCTTAAAAATTTTCAAATTGAAACTATAAGTTAAGCTTTAGAAATTGCAGATGACATTCTTATATTGAGGTTGCATTGATGATTTTCCCCGTCGCATTTGCTTCTAGAGTCCGGCTGTCTGGGTCTAAAGGAAAGATGGGAGGGGTCTAGAGAGAGTTGCTCGGTTACAATTGGAAAAGAAATATAGAATAAAGTTACCATATACTATTGGCATTTATTAGTTTGCCACTAGGCTTAACCACAATGTCAATTATATATCGTAACTTTATTCCTTTAATATATATATAGATAACCAAAAATCTCGAATTTGAGCATTGAAAAATAAAGTAAATTTTCAAATGGAAAGCCCCCAACTGAGATTTTTTGGATTTTGTAACGCGAGTCCAATCTAGTCCATAAGAAAAATAAATCAGTAGAGTAGTGGCTTTCGATACATGAAATGGTACAATCATATAAGGGATAAAAGATTGTTAATTGTGAATTGAGCACACTTTGACTTAACGGAAAGTCACACAAAAGAAATCACATTGCTATTAAGTACTTGCTCAAATCATGAGTTGCTGCCTATCTTCATGATAATTCATTTCAATGAAGTTTTGATCATTTATATGTCGTTTCCCACGTACATAAAGATTGTCCAAGAAGACTGAATATACATGGGTTTAACTTCGGTACACTAAACTTTACACTATATATCATGTAACACAAAAGAAAATAACTACAATAATCATCCTTTAAAAAATAATATTAGCAACTTGAAAATACGACAAATACCTATGATAACAAGTTAAAAATACAATGATAAAGAGAAAGAGACAGACAAAAAACTTCTTGTTGATGGAGTATGTCAAAGTCTAACTAAACACCATAAGTTTCTGGTTCTGAGCTTCAAGCATTGGTGTTGATTTCAGTGCAAACCTTGACAAATCAGCAGTCTCTTTACTTGTTTTCACCTTAGATTCATTGTCTGTTCGACCTTAATTAGTAAAGAAAGCATCAACTAGCTAGGAGTATTTGACTATTTTCTCCTTAATCTTCTTAATTCTTGTTTTATTTTTAAAGCAAATATTTACACTATTAGATTACTTAAATGATAAACTATAGGTAATCATGGATAAAAAGTGAGATGAATAACCAATAAAATAAGAAAGATTACCTTCTAAAACATGTTAAAATATACTGATAGTATCAAAATCTTTTACTACTATTTTTGAACAGGTGGTTTCGTATCTTCAGTCTAATTAAGGGGCTACATCCCCTTCAACAAAAATAAAAATTCTATTCGAATTCACATCGAAACGTAAAGTAGAACGAAGGGAGTACCTCTTTTTATGTTTAATTATATATATCGATGCAAATAATTAGTAGGTAGCACTATTTTCACCTATATGCTTAGACTTTCAATGCCTATATTCATATATTTAGAGTTTTTTTGCTACAACTTTAAATGCAAAATCAAGAATTAAAGTAGAGATATACCCCCACCTCCTTCACTATCACGGTAAGTGGAGACGTGTTTGTTACTAATAGTAATCAAGTAGCTAGGGTTTGTGAGTAGATGATGAGCTCATATTTTCAAGGTCGAACAGACAATGAGACAAAGGTTAACAGCAAAAGGACTGCTCACTTGTCAAGCATAGCATGGAAACCACTCACCCATAGGCAGTCCCATGCACGAAATATCTCGCATTCACACAAGGCCGGGTAAAGGGCCGCACTCCATCACCATATAAAATCCATTATCAATTTTATGATTCGTCCCTTTTTTCGTGGAGCAGCCAGAATTTTTATCAAGGAATATCAAAATATATAAAAGTAAATATACCAGAAAATTAAGTGGAGTCAACACAATATTTATGTACCTATAATTGTCATTTGACACCCCTTTCTACATGTGGCTCCGCCGCTACCTTTTCTTCCAAAAAGCATTCAAAGAAAAATTATAATCAGTAAAGAAGAAATAAACTAGCACTACATATCAATCTTTCTTCCTTTTTTTCCTATCCTACTAACCAATAAGAAGAAGAAGAAGAAGAAAAGTACCTTGTTCCAAATGAAAAGAGTGGTCGGGATCAAAGAGGAAGCACCGAAAAGCAAGGGGATCCATTCTGTTCTAAGATGTCGAGAATCTACTTTTGGTTGGTGCTATCACAGGCGAAAGCCGAGATTTAAAGTTTATGAATTCGAGATTCTAATCTCTTTAAGTTATTGAGTTCTAAATTAATAATATATATATATATATATATATATATATATACTCAATGAATTTTTAAGACAAAAACAAGGTTCGAATCAAAGCTACTGAGTTTTGCCGAACCCGCTCCCGACACTCTAACTCCGCCCGGTGCTATAGAAAGAGCATTAGTTCTTCTCTTATCCCGAACTCACCAGCAACCCCGCCTTAATTCAGGATAAGACCACCAATTTGCTGGCAAAATGCCTACGAAATATACCCTATAGAACTTGTTGTGTTTAAGCTTCTTGAGGGGGAGTATTATTTATATAGAAAGCTAGAGGTCAGGTCATTAAATTAAAGCTTGAAGCGTGTGAAGTATTGTGCTTTTAGTGTTTGTCTGCAACTTAAACACCTGGAACTGTACGTGGAAGAACTTTGACTCGCGGGTAAATTGATAATTATTACTTGTACAAAGAAATAAGGACCAGGAAATAATAATAATAATAATAATAATAATAATAATATGTTTGCAAAAAATGTCTGCAAATATTGCGGGGTTAACCCTTATTCCACCTACTCCTTAATGATAAAAGGTCAGCAAATAAAAGGTCCGTTTTCATTTACATGGCTTAGTTTGTAAAATGAAAAATTCAAATTAAATTATTTTTAAATTTAGATAGATGTCATTTAATTTTTTTTTGGAATGAACTAACAAGGGAATAATTTTTTTTTTGTTTTTTTTTTGAACGAAATGGAGTAGAAGTTTGGAGTTGTTCATCAGTATTCGAAACTTACTAATCTAATTAATCTCGAATTCACACGGAATAAATTCATTAAATTAAGGAATAAAATATTAGCTACCATAAAAATTTCTTTTTTGCAGAGTTCGAACCAAGTATATCACCCAAATAGTGCTTTTGTCTTCTACGCGTACATACGAACTATTTGAGATATCGTTTTGATTCCAACTAACCATAGTCTTACTTGTTTGAATGGTCAAGAATAATCCCTACCTACCCCATTTTAGGTAGTAAGGGGAAGCTTTAGATATTAGAAAGAAAGAAAAAAAGCAATAAACAATTAGAGGAAGAGGAGAGAAATGACAAGTAGAGTTAGCTGCCCTCGTGATGTTAAGAAACACCGATGGTTAGGTTCAAACAAAAAGATATATATATATATATATATATATATATATATATATATATAT